AAAATAATCTCACACAATGTAATTATATAGTTGAATATGCTAATTATATTGACATATTTTTAAGAGTGTTAATTTATTGAAAACTATAATATTAGATATAAAGGGTATTCGGAACAAGAATATTTTAATTTAAAAATAAACTATTCATTTATAAACTAATATAGGTTTATTATTTTAGTTTTTATAAATACTAATTGCGTAATAACTTCCAAGTAATTTATCATATTTATAAGTCATGGGATCGTTTTTAACATAATTTTTTTGAGATGTATTGTGATATGTTTAATCTTAGAAAAGAATAGATTGCGATAGTGATCATTATCCAATTGCCGTTTATCATATAAAATATTACAGTATAAGAACGTACAATGATTATAATCACTAATCAGGACAAATAGTCTTTTTGTTCAACAAAAATGTGCCATTTCTTAAAACTAAAAAATTAACAACGAAACCAAATGATAGATGATTCCGAGTGCCTACTCTAATCATTTTAATCTCGTTTTTTTAAATGGTATGCAAAAAAAAAAATATATATATATATACATACATGATATGATAAACCATTTAAAATACTTGGTTAAATTAAAATTAATTAAATTTTCTATATGATGTAAATTTAAAAGTCATACAATTCACATCAATCTACAACTTTATTTTTACACTACAACAATAATTTTCCCTAACGGTAGAATGACACTAGGCATTATCTATAAGCTGAATATTATAATGGTAAAATCTTGTAAGTTCGTATTTTTATTAGCTTCAATGACTCGAGTAGCTGAAAACTGAAAAGGTATTATTTTTAATTATTTTTTGAGTAGATCCACGATATTTTTTAACTGCTGAACCGATTTCTTCAAGTCTATAGATCGGATATCGTACTTAATAGGGTATTTATTGAGCCAACATTAAAAAAGTTTAAAAAAATCTTCTTCTTTATTTCTATTAGCTTTTATAGCTATAGTTTAAGGTGCTAGAGTTAGGTTATAACATGTAACATTTTCACACAAATCTTTAGTCAAACTATTTTTTCATTAAAGGTAGGCAAAACAAAAACTACAATTATACGGTATTAAATTTCAGGTATAGGTGCTATTTGTGAATGAAACAACATTCAACCGGTGTGGCATCGAAGCATTTATTTTATTGTAATTTTATTACTTTGAGTTATGTTAGTTTCTGAATAACCACGCCGCGAAGAAATAGGAGATATTATAATCAAACCGTAATCAAAATGCGTTTTCTGGTAATAATATTTTTATTTAACTAAATTTTTTCAGTTAAAAAAAAATGAAGGATTTATAGAATTAATTATGTATTCATAAATAGTAGTGGTGGGGGGGGGGAGTAGCGTGACAGCTGATGCACATTACACACACATGCATTGCATTTCTTAGCATTATATAATTCGTTTGTAAGACTATCCATATAATTAGCGTTTATTTATGGCTACGATAAAATGGACAAATGAAGATCAGAAAACTGAAATTCTATTAAGAAAACTTAAAAAACGAAAGTATTATTTGATATAAATAGTACTAGGTCTAGTTTGTAGTAGTACAGTTTAAGTTCTTTTTTTTTATCCAAGTAACCGCTAACCTCGGAGGGAACTATTTACACACTACTTCCTCCCAGGAGTACAGTTTAAGTACTAAACAGATGATTACATTATCAGAGTGGACGGAATATTATTAAACCAGATTAAAAAAAAAGAATGAGCTAAGTAAATTTCATAGAGCCGCCCAAAGAAATTTTTATATAGATCTAGAATACTTAAAAGTTTAAATTTATGAGTAAAATAATACAATTGATATAGTCTATATAACACATTTTTATATGTAATCAAACTTAGTCATAGGTAGTTTATTTTAATTTCAACATCTTTATGATATATTTAATTGATCTAATCTAATAGTCATGATTAATTTTGGCTTCTTATAAAAATGTTGAAATAATTTATTTAATTGTGGGTTTTTTATTGAAATAAAATACTATGTTATGAAAACAATTTCTCCAACTAATGACGGCTAATAACTATTAAATTATTTTATTTTACTTTAACAAAATATTTGTATTGATGCTAATTTTCAAACCAGTATACTTCATTTTAGAACATTCCGTGACATGATTTAATAATGTAATCATTAAATAGGATTTACCACGTTGTGTGGTTATAAATCCCGACAATCCGTATTCACGGACTAAAAGATTTTTTGACAGTCTTATTTTAAAGTTAAATCAGTACAAATCGTTTGTAAGCTAGCTAATGATTAAAATGTACAAAATACATTTGTTTAAAAGATTAACATACGAAGAATTTTTGGTGAATTCATAATTAATTTGTGTAATAATACAGTAAATTAAAATTAACTTATAGCTTACAAGTGTTAAAAGTCTATATCCTACTTTTTTTTATATATAATAGGAATTTCTATCTGAAATATTAGGTTACAACTTGTGGTTCTGTAATATGAATGTAGACTCTAAGATTTTTTAAATTTGTATTTAAAACCAAATTTTGACAAGCTGCCGATATAGGTTGACCTCCGCATAATAGTCAATACCTAATTACATACATATTAATAAAAAAATAATATTGATTAGTCTAATTAGTAAATTAAACATTAACAAATTCAACTAAACATAAACCTGATGAAGCTAATGAATACAAAAAAAATATATATTTTTTTAATAGTTTCTTAATACAGAAATGATTAAATATAGTAATCACGGCTTACTAGATATATGCATTTTTTTTGTGATTTATCAAAATTATTTAAGAAGTGTGTTCTGACGTTAGAAACGTTAGTTTTATAGTAGCTCTTAACAGGTTAACATAATACATATTATATTTTGCAGTATTGTGTTCTGAACAAGTTGGCCTGATAAAACATAAAATAATGTGATGATACATTGTTTAAACTTAAGGTTTGTATTTTGAATTTTCATTATTTGTAAATTGTGTTATATGTAAACACTAACACGGAAAAAACTATATAGCTGTCCGAACCATAATTATGGTTATCCCAACCATAAGTTATGGTTAATATAGGGACACAATAAATTTTTACCACCAGTCGCTTGTGTCTAAATATACATATTTAACAAAAAATGTACAGTTAACCCAACTACTCAAAAACAACTAAACTAGTTTGGTATTTCTAACTAAAATAATGTTGTTGGCGCAACAATATTATAGTAGATCTAACTAGAATATTTCCAACCATTTACTATAACCAAATTATTATGATATATAATTGATATAATATACAATATATATAATTGATATATTATAATGAAGTTATCGTTGAGTATTGAAATAAATAAATATCTCATCATCGTCATCAATAATATATCAATAAGAAAAAAATATCCCTAATCAAAGCTCGCTAAGTATTTGATGATTTTGTCATAAGAACCTAATTAAAAATATTTTTTAGTTTTATTATTAGCGCACAGCGATACTTAGTTTTAAGATTGATCTCCAAGATAGTAATTGGTTTTTAATAATTTAAGAGACTGTTTTGATTATAGAAGTCTCTTTAGAACACCAAAACTATCATGCTATAATAGAACTTAGAAGGAGCTAAATTTAAATTTAATAAGTTATGACTTACCTATGACATGAAATTTAAATTGTGTACAAAGACGCGCCAATAAATTTACTTTTTAGTTTTTTGTGATTATTACTTTTAAGGTTGGTGGTACAAAATATGTATAGATAATACACATTTTGACTTGACATTTAGGAGTATTTTATATATTATAGGTTATATTTACCATACAACCCCAAGTAATTTGGAATAAAAGCTTTAATAATAGAATAAGACAACTGATCAAATTATTCTATTTAATAGTTTTAATTGATGAAAATTATTTTAGTAAGACATGTATAACTTACTCAAACCTAACCAATAAAATTGATAATTATTATTGGAAGTTCTGTAAGTATGTGTTTTATATTTCACGCATGTGATGGACAAAGACAACAAATCATTTTACTATTATTTTATAGTTATTTAAATTAATTTAATAGCGTTTACATAACAAGTAATATAACATCTACTATTGTTTTTTAATGGCACAGTTGGTTTTTTCTACTGTTAACATCTCACGTGAGCACTCTTAGCAATACCGTATAGTCCGCCATAATGATTTTTTATAATAATATTATATATAAGGCGCTTTGAAGCCACAAGATAGTCCTATTCACTGATGATGTCAGACTTTCAATAATTATGGTTGTTTATTAATTCCTATCAAACTTGGTTTAACAGTGTACTGTAACATGTGTGTAAAGATTTTACGCGCAGTAAATTTAAGTAGTGGCGCTTTGCGTTGTGATAATATTATTGTGCAATAATATTAATTTTAAAAAAACTTAAGATTGCCATTTTTTTTTTCGTAAAAAACTATAATGCCATTTACCTTTAAATGTCACTGGAAAGTGGACCTACATTTTTTTTTCGGAAATTGCATCAGTTATCGGCGGTTGTTTATTTGTGTCAAAATATGTTTCGACTTCAATTATTATTATACTTACCCATATGGCATTTGCTATGTATATACTTAAATGTCGGTCCGGTACGTACAAAAAAAAAACACGCAATGTAATTATATTTATCTGTCCATTAAACCATGTGATGACATTCGCATTTGGGGTAAGTCCATTGCGGTGTCCAAAAGAAGGGAACAAAACTTGTCGTGCAATACGTTGTTTTTTTCTTCGAGGGGTCAAAACCAGCCCGGGTTCTCTTGCCGGCTTCGGCGGTTAATGGGCCCGGTTGCGGGAAAGGAAAAAAAAATGAACAAACGTACAAAATGAAAATCCCAGCAATACGTCTTAAGGCGAGGGTGTTGCGGCGCGGGGAATAATAAGAAAACTTAAGTAATGTACCGTGCATAGGTGCATGGCGACGGCGGTCGGTCTTAGACTCCGCCTCTTAAAGATTTCTTTAAACCGATTCCAAGCCAGACGGTCACCACCATCAGTTGATTCTCGGCGGGCTCCACTGCTTTAACGCCGCGTCTGTTTGCGTAATTTTTTATTATTGTTATTATTATTTGGTTTGTTTCCTTAAGCAAAAAAAAGTACTTTAAAATTAATAAATCGCGTTATTTAAATTTCAAATTTCGTTTTTCCGTTACACCGTTTTGTCACAGTAAACTTCGTTTGGTGTTGTGCATTTAGCTCGCGTGTTTAGAACGGGGAAAAAAAACTTGAAATGTAAGTAAGAAAAATCCAAAATTACAATTACCTTAACTCACATTCATGGGAAAAATATTCATTATTTATAATAATAATGGTAGGTACATTAAATACTGCCTCGGTCTTATCAATAACTGTAATTGGATGCTTGCGATATTTACCACATGTATTATATCACGCTTTAATGAACTCGTTTTCGATATTTTTTAAGCGTCTCGCGTGATAAATACACGCCAAAAGACTTTTGTATTTATTGTTATCATTTATAACTCAATTATGGAAAATTTAAACTGACAACGATTCGGTTCGATCGCAATTTATTAATGTACTATCGCGTATTTAATTAAAAGGATTAAACAGATGAAAATTAAAATATAACCCGAACATTATCGTTTGCTATCGAAATTTAAATTTTAACAACATTTCTAATTGTGCTTTGCGCCATTTTGAAATAATAAAATAATTCGTGATTAATTTGACTTTTATGATAACTCACGGACATGACAACCTGTTTTTTTATACACGAGAATGGTAACCACCGTATCTTATATGTTATTTGATTTTTAAATGTAGTTTCAGTTTTTATCTGACGGTTTTTAATGTAATAATAGTTTAAGGAAATTTGGAGATTATATTTAATAAGGAAGGATGCACTATTGTCGTGACAGATTGCTACAATCAATTTATGATGACCTAAAAGTATATGAATACACATGATTAGCATAGAATTCACGTTTATCGTATATACAATATTCAATCAAATAATTACTTAATTAATTCATACTCAAATAAAACTTATAATAGAGCTATGTGTTTTTCAGTGTTATTGTACCCCGTTAGATATATTATTTTTGTCAAACTTAATTTTCCTACATGTCTGAAAGGAAATGTTCGAATGACGTTTCATTACCAATATTGAACTAAAAATACAATTTAAAACTAATTTATCAGACATTCTTAACGTTTGAATTCCTAGAATTCCTTATCACAACAATACTAATAATAATAATTATTATTATTTTTAGTAGATACGGAATCAAGATATTATTAGCATTATTACAATCTTTCCAAATTCGACTATAACAATAATTATTGAATTAACCTATAACTGCCAAAACGCTATTAAGTAAATACCGATTTTAGTTTTTTCTTAGGATATATTTGAACTTTTTCATAGCTCGTTGATTACCTAAGTTAAACAAAAATAGTATAGGTAAGAACCAAAATCTGGGGCGGTTTGGAAACTAAATTCAGGCCTGGGAATTATACTTCATTCAGGCCACCAGTAGCTCCTTTAGCCATTTTTGGTATTTCGCGATGATATAATCACTTGGTTAAGGTATTGTTAAGAATGCAGGTGTTTTTGACAGGAGATTGGAGAACAATATAATATTTTTTATACCTTTATTCGGAGATATTCATAAATGTTAACATTCCACTCGGAATTTATCGGCTCAAAATGGTTTTGCGGGAGGACAAAAATATGAGGGTGGTATTTACAGCAACAATATAAAATGTCGTCAAAGGGTAAAGGAAAACTTTAACTATGGGGAAGCGTTTTTAATTTTTTAACAACTTAAGCACAATCAAAGGTATTCAATCGTGAAGATTCATTTATTTTTAATTGTTTATAAAAAAATATTAAGTGTAGATTTAAAAAAAAATAAAAACGCTACCCCACAGATAAAGTTCTTCTCTATACATTGTGAAAATTTGGTAAATCTATTATTAATACTGGCCTACATACTTGTCCCACGCAAAGCAGTTTTGACAGGGAAAAAATTGTAGTTTATCCTATAGAAATGAATGTGATAGTCTGAAAAAAAAATGGCAAACAATAAAGTATCCTCACTACTGTATAAATAAGTATACACTATAGTTCAAGCACTAAATTAAGATACTGTAAAAAATAGCCTATACTTTACTCCTTAGAAATGAGCTGAGTGACGTCCTCTTAAAAAAAATATTAAAAAAGTAATACAAAAATATTTTGTAGGTTAATATTTTTTAGTTACAACCACGGTTTTTAACAAGCTTACAATCCATACAGGATAATTGAAATAAGTATCATCGGCGGTAATTTAAGTCAAATGTCACAATTGATGTATTCTATTATTCTGCAAAACTAAGAGAGATCCGCATTGGTGTTTTAAACAGTTGTAATTATCAGTAAAAAAAAAAAAAATTATGTACAATAACCAGTGTTGTAAATTTTTTTTACAAAATGAATTGTTCTTGTTAATTGTGTTAAAAAACTTCTCCTTGTCCTTTTAACTTTTGAAAGAAATCATTGTTTTTTACATAATGCCAAGCTATACACACACAAAAAAAAATGATTTAACTTAACAGTTAATTAAAATTTAATGGAACCATTACAGGTCACCATTTAATGTTTAAAAACACTACTAAATATCTTAAGATTCGTTGAACTCTTATTGACTATTCGTGCGACTCGGTTAATTACCTATAACATTAAGTATTTTTAGTGCACATTATGACTAGCTAGATAAATTATTAGTTTTTTTTAGAACCGGGTAATAATAAAAAACTACTCAAAGTGCGCTCATCGTCTATCATCTATTAATTATCTATTGGTAACTGAATAAACTCAGTTAAGAGTTTTCACACTTCATGCAAATACATCAGTTCATGGATATGTCAGGACATATCCATGAAGTGTGGATACTCTTAACTGAGTTTATTGGGGTTTCTTAAAACCATTTTTATCACAATGTGTAATCATTATATGATTATTTCCGATCTATAATCTCCTTGGGATATATGATGATAGTATAATCTTAATTATATGTTCTGGTCAAACGTTTTTTGGTAGTTTTATAATATCTGGCCTTATTTGATTTACTGGCAACATTTATCAATATTAACATTTCTCAAAAATAAATTTCCGTGGTTCACCAGTAACTAAGTGCCTACCTAGCAAATTAATTTGACTATCCTTGTATATATAGTTATATCCTTATATATCCTACACATGATGTATCTACATGGAGCACAGAAATCAGAATAGACTAAATCTAATTTAATCTATTCTGTGCACGAAGTGTGGATACTCTTAACTTTATTTTCAGAATGACCCTCCACAATCCTCCATAATCCATATCTATTATCCCTAATCTTATATATATATATATATATACTTAATGGCCTAATGATAATGACGTCAGCATTGTGACACTAAACGTGACGGACAAATTTTCAGAATGACCCCCAGCCATAAGACATATCTATATCAAAATAAAGAACTATATCAAATGGTTATCAGGAACAAATATGACTTGTTAATATTGATGTTGATGAATATTTATTTCACCTAATTTATAAGTTTATAATTTTAGTTGGGCGTTATCAAAATAGAAATGTACATCTGATGTTGTTCAGCGTGTTAATAATTTTGACACAACTTGACTTTAATGATTTAAAATTTAATCGAGGGATAATAAAAATTAATTTAACAAACACAAACAAGAAAATTAATAAAAAGGAATTATACCTTTCCGGGCAGAAGACATAACGTTCTCTTCGGTAAATCGTTTTAGATATATTTTTTACCTTACACAAATCGCTGCAATGTCACCACCGTGGGTACACCATTATAACTGGAACGTGTTTATTATGTGTAAAATAATACTTAATCCGACGTTGTTGTATTGTCGAGGCTGTACACACATAATAATTACTTGTCGTAAGAGTACTACTTAAGAGGAAGAACACAAAAATCCAACAACGCATACCTAAACCTTTTCAATCCAGCTAACATGTAACTGGAGTATCGAAAAACGCCGTAACATATTATTATGCATGTGTATAGATCGATCGTGGTTATATTAATATATTATTTTAATATAATGGTTATTATGATGTTATGTGTACACATATACACAAGTTTATTTCAGCTGCAGCCAGTTGAATCCTATTACTTTTACTCGCTGCACATTACATACAAAACATAATTACCGTTGAGCTGTGTTGAGTATATATTATGCGGTAGGTAGTGTGGTATAATAATAATAATGTATTCTATTATTATCATCGGATAACACATAACTTCTATATCATAGTATAAAATATTTGTTTTTTCGTGCGAATAATGTGAATTCGACAATATTCGTAATGCGATAATATAACAGTTCATCGCCGTGTCTATAAAGCGAATTGCTGATAATGTAATTAACATAAAAATGTGAAAAATAACTCGATTTATGAGGATATATGTGCGATAAAGCGTCGTTAAAGTTTATAAATTTTACAGAGAAATTATGTTAATAACCATTAGATGCGTTCTTCGCCGTATATAGCTTTGAGCTAGTTTAATTACAGCTACCACTACAGAAATTCGTGTGAACTACTATGGCTATTGACTATATTGTGTACATTAAGAGTTCATTAGAACGCTTAACGTTCCGAGTTATCGACCAAAGCAATAAAATTATTATTAAGGCGTACACCACTCAACTCATGTTGAACTAATATGCGTTTCCAGTAAGTTCAAGGCTCATTGGATTGGAGCCATGATATTTGTTTTTAGGTCTTCTTCTTTAGGTTTTCAGTCTTCCGACTGGTATTGCCTTCCTACAACTCTTCTCCATTCCTCCCTGTCTTCTATTTTCCTTTTCATATCTACATATTTTAGGCCCAGTTCTCCACATGTCTGTGTTATGAAATTTGTTCTAGGTCTTCCTCTTCCTTTTTTCCCTGGTATAATTCCTTCAAGGACTACTTGTATAGGACTATCATGTCTCAGAGTATGTCCTAGCCATTGTAGTTTTCTCGCTTTTATGTTATTTATTATTGTCCTTTGTTCATTTACTTGTTGTAGTACTTGATTATTTGCTACTCTATCTACCCAGTTAATCTTTTGCATACGTCGATAGCACCACATCTCAAATGCTTTTATCGATTCTTCTTCATTTTTGTTGTACATCCATATCTCCGCTGAGTATAGTGCTATAGGCCATACGTATGTTTTTAGTATCCTTTTTCTGAGTGCAATGTTTATC